CAAATTGTTCTGTAATAACTAATAACTTTTCGACCAAGTATGTTTAAACATTGTGCGCAGTTAAGCCTTTTCTGTTAGAACAAACAAATGGACAACCATTTTTCATGCAGCTCAGCTATTAGAAAATGTGACGCAGTTACAATTACAGTGAAATCAGACGTCTTTTGCAGATATAAAGTGATCACTTTCTTTCTTTTGTTTAGTCTTTTATGTTTTTAGACTTATTTATGCAATTATTTTCACTTTTATGTTTTGTTTCTTATTTAATGACTTTTATAACCTTTTATTTTGACCTTTTATGTCCTCTGGGACACTTTGGAGAGATTATTAAAGATCTCTACGTTTTGTAGAGACTAGATCTTACTTTACACTGTTTTCTGTGTGATTACATTACAGTGATTAAGCAGATCTGATTACAGATCTGGACGGAGGTTTGAATTTAAACAGATGTTTTTTAGTGTACACTTAGATTTCAAACACACACACTTCAAACAGCACCGGTCATACAGATTCACATCTCAGAGCTCTTCAAGCACACACAATTCCTACTGTTAAAGCCATGGCAAATAGTTTCATGTGCACATCACATATCTTCCTAGACCCAAGCAGCCAATTTAAACTGATTTGCATGCACTTCTTAACTCTTTTTAACAACTTTTGGTCTAACATAATCAACACAGAGCCAAACTGCTCTCGGTTGCTTCTTTCTCCGGAGATAAACAACAACAACATACGAGATCTCAATACAGTCCTTTTTAGACTCAGGCCTATTTTTCAACAACAAAGTCAGTCGACCTGCAGCTTGGAGACATGTTCTAGGAAACTAAATTCCTCACTAGAGTTAGCTATTCATTATAATTGCATCATTCATAATGATACATCAATTATAAACCGTGACCGCTAGTTTCCACCAAATTCTAACGTTATGGTGCAATCTCGCTTCAGCAGATTAACGTTAATAATTCCATAATCCGAGCCAGGTCTGGACAGCTAAATTTATCTCAAAATACCAATTTATGCTGCAGCACATCCGGTGACAAAAGGTGAATCGCTTAAATTAATTCAGTGACCAGTAAGAGCTTTCTGCCTATACTAATTAATAAATAGGAGGGTCAATTTAACTCACCTCTCCTTTTTTCTTTGTTTTTTCCTTGTTTTCACCCGGGAGGTCCTGATTCGATTCAATCCGGCCCAATGCACCATTTATGGAAGCTCATTGGTAGAATTCCCTTATGACAGAAGGCCACGATTCACACCATTTTGTCATCCAGAGGGGGGGGAACACATTTAATTACAAACCGAATTCATACAGTTGTCTTAAAACACTTAATACATTCAGAACTGCATCATCAAAAATTCTGTTATACCCCACCTTCAGTCCATTTCAGGCTGCATTTATAGTTTCCACATCGCACTGTGTGGATGCATGTGCACGACTGGACGCTCTTCCTGGAAATCTCTTAGCTTATGACCTGATTGCGTGCGAGTGAGCCAGTAAGAACCCTGTTTTTGTCAAGATTTGAACGTGACTCCCAGCCTGTAGACTCTCTGTTTACATGCTGCATTCTCTGTGTTGCTAAGTGAGCATAAGGTCACACACAGAACTACATA